TGCATTGCAGATTGCAGTGGAAAACGTTTATATTTTACTACTTACTACATACTATATGTCGGAATACGTACGTGTTAGTCTCGAATGTTCAGCGTATACAGCGGGAGTATAACTATGTAATGACATGTCTGTAAGTAATGATCACTGCGGTTAATTGTGCTTCCTTCTCGTTGCGTCTTCGCTGTGCTATCTGAGCACGTTGTTGTTGCTGTATGTGTTTTTTCAGTGAGTCCTGGTTCGGTGGCTTAATGCTCTTCATTCTGGTAGCTGTCTTTAGCATTAGGTACCGCACCTCGTTGACTGATGACACATCCTTGTGCTCATAAAGTGCACACAAGACACGCTCCAAACCACTGGACACATCTGCGGGGACATCAACTTCATTGCCAATCTCCATAAATGCTTGAGCATAACCTGTGGTCTTCTGCAGCAAATTAAATGCCATCTGTTTCGCTTTACCATAAAACGAGCTGACCGAATCACATCCTGTGAAAGCATGGAAGCTAATAAGTGCATCTGTCAGCTCATCCCCAAGTTGCTGTTGCACTGCTCTTACATCTATGGTTCTTGCCTTATTTTCCTTGCCTGTATAGAAGTAGAGTGGAGAACTTATCTGTCGTGACAGAGCTACAGCCAAAACAAAGATATCTGTGTCTGGAGACCGAATAATGGCATGAGTACTGCTAGTAGTGTCAGCGATGTATTTTGCGTGCAATAACATGCGTGTATCAGCCTCTTCGTGGTCACAACACAATGCCTCAACTTGCGTACGCATCACAGTTCCATTTGTATCCGCAGCAATCAGATGGCATTTATCGACGTGTGCAACAACTAACTGAATGCCATTGAGTTGCTCTGCATTGTATTTCTGCCACTCTGTAATTAGGAAGTTGATCCACTGTTTCGGTGTGTTCTGGTCTGGTCTTGTTATATTAACTCTTTGTGATCCACTTGCAGCCCTCCTTGTCCTCTCTGCGTTCTTGATACTATGCTCTGGATATGTGTCGGTGACAAAATGAATGCACGATGACTGGTTTTGGTAACACAAATTGAGTAGCTGATTCATGATTTTTGCAGCAACTTCACCAACGATCTTTGACATATTCTTGGTATTCATCTGCTGAGGGAGTGCCATGCCATCAACGATCCAAATGCCGCCTTTTGGAGGCTGACATGGTTCTATCTCAGACACAGTTTTATCTGATGGAGGAGACAAATCTTCTAGGATGTGAAGAAGTCTTGCTATTTTTGTTTTCATCAAGCATCCATCGTTTTTGGCTAATGCTAGTTGCAATGGGCCGCGAAAATAGGTCATCATGTTTCGCAAATCAATTTTCCCTGTTTTCTCCATTATAACAGATCTCTGTCACTCTTCAGTACCACTTCTTTTCCATTGACTCTTGATACAGATCTATTCGCCAAATTGCTGAAGGTTATCAGTTTTGACTTGGGCAGCGTGTCTTGAATGGATTTATCATTGCTTTGCAGTCGCTCTTGACAGTAGCTTGTAAAAGCTGCATCTCCTTTAGCTTCTGCTACCATCAGATCTGTGGAAACATCTGATGTTGCCACAACACCAGAAGTTAGATGAACAATCTCACTACATGTACATGTAACATATTAAAATGGATTGGCGAGGCTCGTAACGGTTTCCATGATGCGCTGCACATCTTCCTTATCTCTTTTCATGCGACCTTCTGTCAGATCTTTACGTAATGCAGCTCGCTGCCCTTTTCCTGCCATCTCCTCGCACTGTCTCATGATTGCTGCTCTTTCATGGTGTCCCACTGTCCACCTGCCGACGGCTCCTTTATTCACGGTGAACCTTTTAATCCCCCTCTTGTCTTTTAATCTCTGTTCACTGTTTGCTCTATGGTTTGGTCACATGGAACTCCCGCAAAACCATACGCATCCTGCCGTTGCACTGCAAAGTTTTCGTCTGAATTCCGTGTGAATGTCTGGATGAGTACGAGTCAGCCCATGCATCTCCATCCAGTAGATGAGTAAGTATCGGGAGTAATTGGTCCGATTGTAGCTGAACATCCACGGCAACATTGCTCTGATGGCTGCTAGATGTAAGTCCCAGTTTCCTTCTCTAGTTGCTCTTGTGAATTGCAATAGTGTGTCGACCATGTCTAAATATGAACACCAAAAAGCAAATGGTCTACTCGTCTTCTTCTTCTCTTTGACATATTCGTCATACGCTTTCATCAGCTTATCAAATTCATCAGTGTCCAGTTTATCTGCATAGATTTCGCTTGGGAATTAATTTTGCAGTCTCCCGATGAAATCTCTGTAGACTTTAGCCTCATCCTTTGTTACTGAATTCCTGAATGATTGCCAACGGAGTAGTTGAAGCGCTTCAGGCATCAGTTTGTGGCATCTGATACTTCTGTTGTAATGTCTCCCATTCATAACTCCATTTGCTGAACCAGCAGCAAGCACTTCCGACTCTATTAGGATATCCTCAAGACCCTCATCTCTGAACCTTGTACCAATGCAAGCGAGTAAAGTCATAGCTGTGTGAAATGCACCCAATCTTAGCACAATTCTTTCCATGAAGAGAGGTGTTTGCCATCTGACTGACTGTGCTTTGGCATATATGGCTTGGTCCACAACTACCACGACAGAGCCTAACTTCAGCGAATCTGCAATCTTGATGCTTCTGTGCAAGATTGTGTTAACTGCATTCATTTCAGTTGGTGATGCATCTATTACGGGCAGATATGCAATGGTAGCCTTCGTGGGAACAAGCGTGTTCAGCATCTGGTTATAACCAGTCCATCCCGGCAGCAGACGACCACCAGCTGAAGCTGAAGACTTGATTATAAATTAACCATCATCTGATTTTCTTGCTCGGATGACTGGTGCGGCATGCTGGGTCTTCTCTAGCTTTGTGTTGGAACCAAGACTGCTTGGACTTGCCTTCTTCTTCCCAAAAAATGGTACAAGCCTTTCTTCAGGAGCCTGTAGAGTGCGCTATCTGGTCTTTTTTACTGTCTCTTGCCTGTCGTCTGTTGAGTCTATGGGACGAAAAATTGCAGCTGGTCTGTGCTGAATGGCAATGCCATTAGTATTGTGTGTTGTGCCCCTTTCTGAGAGTGTCTCCTCACCGAACTGTTATTGTCTCACACAAGTGTTGTAAAAACACTTTCTTGGAGGCATGACGGCAACTTCGATCCACCAGTACAGATTTCCTGCTTGGCCAATGCAGTGTCATGTTCCAGTGCCGAAGTATGAGACGTTGCATGTCCGAAACCATTAAGAAGACCAAACAGTTTGGCTCAGCCGGTGAGATGTCGAACAGCCATGGCAAGGGGGTGTGTTTTTGCATTGGTTTTCTTTCCTTTGAAGCTAAGTATATCACATCTTGAGATATCGAAAGGATGCGACGATATTTGTCTTCAGACACATGTACAAATTCGTCGTCTGTGGGTTCTTCTGACACACCTGTCATCCATGCAAGAAAATTATAGTTTTATTGGTACAATACTCTCAGCTTTGTCTTGATTAAGATGATTAAGATGAAATAAATTTGGTGGTCATGGCATGGTCTCCTTCGGAATGTCATCTATCTCTTTCTTGAGCACAAGGGCAGATGTGTAGCGTTCGCTTAGATTTGCCTCCGAGTCCCTGGCTCTTGGCAGGAAAAAGCTGTCCTCTTCAGAGTCGGTGTCTGTGTCAAACCGATCTGATGGCTCATCAATGCACGCTCTGTCATCTGCAAAAAGTGAGTCTGTTGATTAATTAATCTCGGTCATTAATAAAGAAAATTTTACTTTCATTCCTGCTCTTGGGCTGCACAAAGCGAAGTGAAGGGTACAGATTTTGAAGACACCGCTTTATATTGTAGGTTTTGTATGAGGCAATATCCTTACGCTCAACATCTTTTACAGTTTTGACCAATTTTCTTTTCAATGTGATGAGCTCCAAAACCTTCTTGTCAGCTATTAGTTTGTCTTCTCTTACATCTTTGCAAAACTTGTTGAAAGACAAACGGTACAATCTGTCTGGCTGAGATTGCTTGTGATTTGGGTGCCTCTTTAGCCTGTTTTCCCTGTGCCCAATGCGCAGGAGAAGGCAATAGAGAATCGATCTGGCACCTAATCTGTCGGCCATTGAGTAGCTCACTTGGCGAAAATCCTTTCGCTAAAGTTGTACGTCGGTACTGCATCAGGAATTGCTGCAGGGCAACTTTTGGTGCCAGCGTCGACTTCCTGAGTCCTTGCTTGAAAGTCTGGACCAGGCGTTCTGCAGCTCCATTCGTGGCTGGGTGATAAGGGGCTCCTGTTAAGTGAGTGATGCCTCGTTCGCGACACCAAGCCTGGAACTCCTCCGACATGAACGTAGTGGCATTGTCGGTCACAATCGTGTGTGGATATCCGAAGTGAGCGAAGTCTTGTTCCAGTAGCCCAGCTAGCAAAAGTATGTCGGCCCAACACTGGCCCAATGTCGACATTTGCCGGTCAGGACACCGGCCCGAGGTCGGCACCCGATATCGGCCCGACGTTGGCCAATGTTGGCCGAGGTCTACCCTATATCGGACCGACATCTTTCTGCTCATCGGCATGCAAACGGTCCGATATCGGCAACCCCGGCTGAACATCGGCTGGACACCGGCCATTTGTTTGGGGGTGGGGTGGGGATTGGGGCGATCGGGTTCACTTCTGTGACCCTGGACTCTGATTAACTGACCCATAGGCCACTAAAAACTTGGGTCTGTAAGGGGTTTGTGCTGGTCTGTGAGGTGTTAAAAGCCCCAGCCAGAATTTCTGATTTAAATCGAATCTGAAATCCTATAGCTGCCTTTAACCCCTTACGAACGAGCACAAACCCTTTACTGACCCATGTTTCAGTGGCCCGTGGTCTGAAAGATATGACAAAATTTCAAGATCAATACACAGAATTTCTTTTGGTATTTTGTATAAAGAAAATTGAACTTGACCCTTTTCATATCTATCTGTTTACAATCAAATCAAACAAACAAAAAAAAAACCTTATTTAGAATAATTACTCGCTATTTATTATTTATTACAACCATGTAGATGTAATTCAAAAACTTTCAGTGGAATATATTCATCCCAACAAGTGTACATGCATTGTAGACAAAAAACAGCGAGTGTTTCAGACATGTCAGAATAAAGTTTAAGGCAGAACATTTTGCTTCTCACATGGCACACTTTCCAATATACTCGATTCTGATTTGGTTAGAATACCCAAATACATATTCATCACTTCGTTAACCAATCAAATTAAAATTAATAGCAATCACGAACAAGTCAAGTCTACAAGTCAACTCAAGAACTTAGATATGTTAGAAATACTATCCGTAACTGTAAACCGTGAAACTTATTCAGTGCTAAAAGTTTGCAAATGGCGACCGGCAAAATTCTGTGTTTACATGTACATTACTGCAGAAATTTGAGACCTGAAATATTGTCAAGTTTGCTCTTAACAGTGCATGTGCGAAAATAAAACACTCCCAAAATTTCAAGGTTTACGTTAGCATTGGCCATTGCTTTTTAGACAAAAATAATTGCATGTACTAGTATATAGAATATAAATTTTCCCACTTTTTACTCTCCAAAAATAACCACATTCAGTTTTAAGTTCATACCATATCCAGTACAGTACTGCAAATCTTGAAAGTCGAGGAGATGCAAAACAATTCGCATAACTAATAAGTAAGTTACTTAAAGATATATTTCTCCAATACTGTATTTTCGTGAACCTAATATTTTCCCAAGTTTCGCGGTAGGGGGTCAAAATTTTAATGTTAGTGGCGTGAAAATTATTAATCTAATGGTTTTCTCATTGGAAACACCATCTTTTCGCAGAAATTAATGGTAGTGAAGTCTTAATCCAATAATTAAATAATGAAAGTCTTAATCCACATCTGAAGTGTCAGAGACTGGTGGCAGACCAGCAGCAGCAGGTGGCGCACCAGCAGCGGCAGGTAGAGCAGCAGCGGCCGTACGTTCACGACGTCTATTGCGGCCACCGTCTCGGTCAGATGAACCAGTCAGCCATTTCCCCACAAGCATATCGATTTCCTTCAGAGTAACACTCTCGAACTGTTTGGTTTTGCTGATGGTCTCTGCAATAGAAGAAAATAAACTTGAGAATTAAAAAACTTCGGTGAGCAGAAGTGGGTGTCAAGGCACTTGTACTCCAGCCTTCTTCAGAATTCATACTTACTGCAGATTATAGAATACAGCTTCAGAGCTTTGAAACTCTTCTTCTTTCCTTTCCCATGCAGCGTGTAGTTGCAGCTTATTGCTGGCTTCATTAGCGCATTCAAAATTCTTGTGAGGGCATCACCCAGATTGTGACCGCCAATTGAGCAGAGGAACTTCAACTATGGAGAAATAAATTCATGTAATAGTGTTAGCTCGGAAATACAATGGCACAATTGAAAGAATGGTCAACATTAATTTCCAATTATTTCGGAAATATGCTCAGACTTCTCCTGGTTGCATGTCAGTGCCATATTTGGCTTTAGTTCCCATGCTCCTCATTCTGGCGAACCCGTTTTCACCAGAAATACTTAAAATTAATCTAACACATAATTTGGGTATGGGATTAGGCCCACAGTAATTAGTGGCACATGTATAATACTGAGCACATCTATCAGCTCTACCTCTACCTCAAGGGTGTGTACATGTAGTATAACGATCACTGGCTCAAAACAATATAAACATTCATAAACATTTGTACTTACAACTTTCTTCCTCATCTTGCGATCATTTAACTCCCTCTCCAATGCCATCAGTTGATCATTATCATTCAGAGGGAACATTTGTTCCTCTACATCCGAATGATCATCATCAGTCCTATTCTGTGCAACATGCACTTGCGTGACCATTTTCTTCAAATAGGCAAGTTCCCTCTTCATGTCTTCGAAGTAGGTGAAGAACCTGGCTGAAATAAATAGTCCGAATAATTACTGTATTCGAAGATGATATTTCACGGTGCAACTAAAAATATTAACAGGACATGCTATAGAGGGAATGAAATGAAAGAACATAATAAATCCCCAATTTTTTTTTAAATGTTGTTACGCTGATTTGCCTAACGCATGCCTGTACATGTCCGCATTCTGTTGAACCTGATCACAATGGCGTACATGTAGCGATATATCAAATAGATCCTTCAAAGAGCGTAAATAAAATGGCTATTTCGATACGATCACGAAACTAACCAGTCTAGATGCTGCTTTGAGCGAAGACTGGCAAGCCAATGCCCCTGGGACTGACAAATGCTGTCCTTAGGGCGGTGTCCTGATTACAGACATGACAGAGGTCACACATCACAGAGGTCAAGTTGTAAAGAAAAGACCCATTTGGGGCCAAAATGCTGTTCCTAATACATTTTGTAATAGTGAGGGTGTCTTGCTAACAGAGGTGTCCGCTGATGGAGGTTCCAATTTCATTGTAGTTTGAATTCGATTCATCTTATGATCCCTTATCTCTGTTAAAGGGATATTGCTGTCCTGTGAACCAACCAACCTCGAGTCAATAAACCTTGTCTGCAGACTGCGTATTGCAATGTCCCAGAAGTGTTCTCAATAGAGTGGTTGTGTTGTACCAGGCCTTTTAGTCAATTCTGATTGCCATCAAAGCCATTATTGCTCAGGTCTGGGTAAGAGTAAAAACAAATTAAAAGACAAGGTGTACTCACCAACAGTTGCAGCATCCATTGTTATACTGGTACTGCCCCTCTCAATCTCGTGACTCGGTTGCCTGAAGCCCACACCAAGTTCTCTGCATACAGAATCGCTTGCTGCAAGATAATAAATATATTTTAAGAAGGATACACTGTTGAGCATTCTCTTTATCATATTTCTCTCTCTTCCATTTCAGCCCAGCTTATAATGATTATGAATCTGAAACAATGAGAAGTTACACTCGAAATCTCCTCCTTTGCTTTATGTAGCGGTCATCCAGGCCTTTCAATTGCATGGTTTTCCCAACGGTCTGTAAACATGGGTGTAGGACTTGTTTCCATGCCCTAAATTCATCATGGGCCGAGATATTTCAAACTATCAAGTTTGAGATATCGATATCACCATGACACAGGATCAAGTGAATTTCTGTCAAACTACTTGAAGTCCTGGGATGAAAAAATGTCGAATCTTGACCCTCCCAGATTTTTCTGAGCCTCGAATGCCTGACCAGGGGGGGGGGACATGGTTTCGATATTGACTGCTGTATTGCATAGACAGTATTACAATGTCGTGTCTGATGCAATTTAATGCAGAATTCAGAGAAAACAAGATGCCAGGATCAGATGTGTTTATATCAGCAGCCTGAGCAAGAAAAGTTCTAAACCACCTGTTTTCAAACTCACCTGAAGGTGAACTAAACTGCGCACTCAACTGCCCTGAACTTCTTGGCATATTCACATTGTGTTGCTTCCTGACACTGGATGTGGAAAATGACACTGGGGCTGAAAAGAAAGGCAGAAAAAAATATTGTTAATGAGGAGTGTCTCGTGTCGTAATAGTGCTGGGCTGGCACAACCAAGTTCACGGAGGTCTTTTGAGAGCACCACAAATCTTAAAATGTGCAGACAGTAATCCTAGAATGTTTTCGGTACATCCCATGACCGCCACTCTATGCAGAGACCGGGATGTACCTGAATCAGCTCGGACCACTTGGTAAATGCCCAAATTCATGTATGGGTTTATTATGCCCTGCAAACAAATGGGTAGGGGTCAAAGCTGACTACAATATTATACATTGCACAGGTAGGCTGTTTCAGTCCTGACATGTAGGGTTCATGATAATCAATCATAGCAACTCAGGGACATTCATTTTCATAACACATGCCAAGACCTTTTTGTGATGTCGGTGACTGATCTCCCACCTCAAAATCTGACTGCATTCTACCTTCTAAGAAAAAAGAATTGTAGGACATACTTATTATTTCTGTCCTCCGAGGTGGGTTTGGAAGGTTTGGGGACCGCATCGGTGATTTTTGAGAATCCAAAAAGTTCGAGGCTCCTTGGGTTGGACTTTGACGACGGTTGCTAGGTGTTTTTCCTTTTCTTGGTGACCTACGCATTACGAATGGTTGGGTCTCTTCCTCATGTTCTGACATATCTGACTCCTCCATTCTGCCCCATTCCATATTTGTGTACTTCTTTGGTGACCTGGATCAAAAAAGAAAGAATAAATTCACTCAAACTCTTATATCTATGTACAGAGCTGCCAACCCAGTCTATCATTATCAGGAACTATTTCAATTTGCACTACTTTTCCTTTTTTCACATTCAGTGTTTTTGACCAAAGCAAAAATAGAACTTCTCATGATTTTTGCAATCTTTGGTATTTCTGATGGCTTATTGAAGGACAATTTTGGTGACTTTCTATTTTACAAATTCTGAAAATGTCAGAACTACAACCATGCAAGTCCTGAATGTTGGATTTGAAGGACCCACATACATGAACAGAATTCATTACATTTGTAACCACTCACTCTCTTCGTCTCTTTGGCAGCTGCCTCTGTCCGCTCCGATTCTGATTCGACTCCGCCTCAGACTCTGTGTGGCTTTCTATGGATGAAAGCACACATCCATCCCTCCTCCTCGCAAGGGCGTTGGTCCAAACATCTGAGGACAAATCAAGGTGTTTGTTAAAAATATTGCCAGAGCAGAGGTGCATGTATTGTACATGGACTGGACATACATTGTATGATGCCTATTGGGAGAAAGGGGAAGCTTCCGTTGATTTCAAGACATGCAAGAGAGCTTTTGCCGCTGCCAAGTCGGAACTTTTGGTGTCTACAAAAAAATACATGATAATGAATTGGGTCAAGATGTAATATAGTAATACTAATAAGGATAGGACGGCATTATTCACACCGATGTAACGGGTGTAATTGCCAGCGGTGAGGGTTTGCCAAAAAAGATACTAGTACGCTACTTCAACATATCTTAAGTGTGACCCCTAACCAGATAATAAACATGAAGTGTTACTTTATGGCCTTATTATCTTTACTCCTACAGGGTTTCCATGTGTTAGCTGGCCTCCATACAATGACCAGAAAAATGATGTGGCGGCAATGAAGAAGGAGGTCCCGTCAGACGACTGGGTTGCCTATCCAGTAGTTAGCATACTTTATAAAACAAGTAAGTTTGATTGCTATTATTATTTATCTGTCCTTTTTAATTTTATCTCACTATGTTGAGCTTGCGTATTTGTTATTTTTGGCCCATTGAAAATGTAGAAGCCAATTTACATTATTCAAGATTTAATAAGTACTTCAAATGTTCCATGATCACTTCTTGAGTTTAAATTTGGTTGGCAATGAAACTTTTCAGTGCATCATGGGAAAACACTTAAATTTCAATTTGTGAACCCTTAGCATTTAGGCTACCTTTCTTTATTGTTAGCAGTGGGTTAATCCCTGCACATGGAATAGGAACTTTGAGGAGACAGGACAGGCCTATCTCATATTCATTTTATATTTGATCAAAACTAAAATTGCAACCAGTAGTGTATTGGAAAATGTATGATCTTTTTTTAACAAATTAGAATCTGGACATCATGACAACAGAAATGGCATACGATTATTACGTTGTGGAATTCCAAGAAAATGACTGCAAAATAATAGCTATTGTTGCTGGAAACTGGTTTCATGGATCTTCACAAGTTTTTGTTTAGAAGTACTAACTAAGCACAGTCTGAAAGTCTAAAAGTTTGGGGCATTGAGGCTAAACAGGAAGGCAGCGCAGGTATTGCCTCCACTAGTGTCGAGCCGTGAAACACCCAAAAAATTTAACACCCAAAAATCTCAATGCGTACTGTAACCCAAGACAATTTTGCGGGCATTTTAATTTTGCAGTCCAACCTGATCCGCAAAATTAACAAGCGCACATTTTTGCTTTATCCATTCATAAATGCATTACGGCTCCCTTAGTTCTGCAAAATTAAAACGCACAAATATGTATATTTTGCGGGGGAAATGCGTCTTCCGCAAACAATTTCCGGGTTACAGTAATCGAATTTACAATGTAAGCTTCATTGGGTGCTGGTAGTCAACTAAGATTACATCTACATGTAGGCCTACCTAGGAAACACAACATTTATTCTAATAGGCCCCAGTCTCTCTGTGGACAACAAACATGACTTAGCTTAACATTTACATTGACAATACATACAGTAGAACCTCTCTATTAAAGACACCCTGTGGACTGACAACTGGTGTCCTTATTACAGAGACCAAATTCAATGGAAAATTGAACATTCCTCCCATCATTAGTAAATATAACAAGGCAAAGAGATCTTAGGGTGTGTAGTTTTACCCAGTTTAGGAACTTGTACTAGTAGAACTGATGAAGCATAGGAATGAGGACAAAATCTTCCTTGTAAGGCAACATTACACACTTACAACTGATCTCAGATATATTAATCACCTTACAATTATTGCTCATTCCTGCAACTCTCACAATACCTATGTCCGATGAGCCCATTGGATAGTCAAAGAAATCTGAAACTGTAGTGAAAGGTTCATATATCACCTTGCAAGAGTCGCATTCATTCTTGCAAGGATCTAAGCTGATTATGTTCCTAATCAAGCCATAACGTTTCCCCACCTTAATGCAACGATCAGCACCTTCAACAGAAAAGTAAATAGTATTGGCAGTATTGCACAAGACTTCTCCAAACTGTTTAAATTGTCTATATTCGCTTGGGAGAGGCCCAAAGAAATGTAGTTTACCCAATGCACATTCTTGTTTTTTCCTGTTGTTATGAGATGCCGAGTGACATGATTCAGAAAGCCTTCTTATAACCTGCTGAAGAGGAAATCTAGGGCTCCTTATCATCTTTTTAATTCTGCCAAGAAAACTCTCAAATGGATATGCCGAAAAGGAATCCAAAGCACCAAATTTTCGTGCATCAGCAGCCAAGTGAATGAGATTGTGGACATTGTATACCAACATCTCCCTACCATACAAATCTTCCCATTGCTGAACAAAGATTACAAGTAGCTGATCAGCATATTCACAATGACCAGCACAGAGAAGAGGACTTGATAGGGTATACATTGCAACAAAAATAACTAAGAAATGCTTGTAGAATTGATCAGAGATCTTTCCTTTCAAAGCAACAATTCCAGAGTACAGCAAAAATTGTCTGAATTCTGTTGCCTTCCATCTGTCCACCTCCAGCAGAGACCTGCATTTTCTTGGAAATTCTTTTGGAATATATTCTGCATAAGACAACAGAGATGCAGAAACTTGCCGGACACTGTTCGCCCCAATTCGACATCTATTGGCAACAGGCCCCTTCATCCAATTCCAAATTAATCTTTTCATTACACCTAAATGCACCAAGTGCATTGGGTCAAGAGGAACTTGTGATACCATCCCAACAAGATTCTGAAGGGGAGATGGAGCAATATGATGATCACCGTCAATCATTTCATTAAATGCTACATCAGTACGTAGATGAGCGTCTGTTTCTGGAAAAATAACCTTGGTTGCCCAGGCCCCCGTTTGCTCACACTTCTCACAACCATGTAAGATTATGGAATTGACTTGCTTGATAAAAGCCCTTGGCTGGAGCATCACAAATAACAAGAGCACAGACATCAGATGGTCTCTGTCTCCTTCCCAATATCAATGCCATGAGCTGTGATATCATGCAAACTCTGCTGACAAAAACATGAAGGTATTCGCCAACATTCCTGGCTTCCATTACCACAAAACAACCAATGATGAAAACTTTGAAATGGTAGGTTCACTATTCTACCAAGAATTGGCCAAAACTGTGTTTTTGAACTCTTGAATATGGGAAGCCCATCAATGTTTACCTGGATGGAAATTTGAGCATCATGCAGCAAGTTCAGCAGTCAAGTCATTGGTTTCAAGGCCACTATCACAGTCGGATAACGCACTATCACTATCAGGTTCGCGTTCCGAGTCAAAATCACTGAAATCACTGCCGTCATGTAAATCATGTTCAACAACATGAACATCGACATCAAAACCTACACCCATGTCATCTGAATCAAGCATGTTCTCCAACAGTGGATTGGGTGTGTCACCATGATGGGAATTTTCTCCAAGTCCAACATGCTGATCTAGGCCAACATTTTCTAAATCTTCCATCAAGTTACCATCATCTAATGACACACTCTCGTCAATATCACCATCTGATTCAGGCGCCAGATAAGGCTCCGTCTCCGACATGTCTGATAATGATAAGACAGGTGACTTAGAACATGTCCCAGTCGACGTTGACAACCCCAATAAATCTGACATCTCAGATTGGACAGAAGCATTAATTTTCCTTCGCTTTGTCCAATATGACTCTTCACGGCAAGACATTTTCAGTTACCGGTGGTCGACGGAGTGGTATGACTGGTCTCCCGAGAACAGGACTGTTTTTAATTTATGAATGCTAGTTTAGCCTAGTTATTCAGCAGACTCACAACCGATGCGATTGAACTGAAGACCGTAAAATATATCACTCCGACTCTATACTATATAGCATACTAGAATACTAGACCTAGACCAGCTCCAGCTATAGGCCTACCGTACTTCACTAATTTTGGCACACCTCGATCACCTGACCCGACGACCCCACAAATGACATACATAGGCCTACTCACTCATCCGCTCATCATATCATAGATGAACAAGATATCATTTAATTGCGTATGTACCACAAGCTAAAAGAAGCNATCAGTACGTAGATGAGCGTCTGTTTCTGGAAAAATAACCTTGGTTGCCCAGGCCCCCGTTTGCTCACACTTCTCACAACCATGGTAAGCATTATGGGATTTGACTTGCTTGATAAAAGCCCTGGCTGGAGCATCACAAATAAAACAAGAGATAGACATAGATGTCTCTGTCCCTCCCATATCAATGCCATGAGCTGTGATATCATGCAACTCTGTGACAAAATCATGAAGGTATTCGCCAACATCTCCTGGCTTCCCATTACCACAAAACAAGCCAATGATGAAAACTTTGGAAATGGTAGGTTCCACTATTCTACCAAGAATTGGCCAAAACTGTGTTTTTGAACTCTTGAATATGGGAAGCCCATCAATGTTTACCTGGATGGAAATTTGAGCATCAGCACCAACTACAATAGCATCAGACTTGCAAACCTCAACAACACCTTTGGCAATTCCAAAGTGGTAATAATGCCCACCTTTCACATCACGCACATCATAGGTAGTTTGAGTGTTCAAAAGTGTCCTAGGGTCCTTTGGTAAACTGGGATGATGTGGCTTTAGAATCCCAAGAAGATGNGCCACTCGTCCGTCACCTCGCGACCCTCGCAGGTGTCGGCGACGTCCCCCCGCGCACGGCGTGCCCGCCGCTGCCTACGTACAGCACAATACGACGAGGTCGACGGCGTCGAGATAAAGCCGATAATCGCAACGGCGTGAAGGGAGTCGGTCGACGGTGCTGTACATACATAAGACGGCGGATGTAGCGCGGGCGTACGTCGTCAACCGTGAGTGAAAGTCTGTGTGTCAGTGTGTATACTTGTAGCAAGAATTTAGCATCCATGGGGTTTTTAAAGCGACCGTGCGATACGAAGTACATGGGTTAAGTGCATTTAATGTATATGCTGTGTTATTACCTCCGCCCAACGGAGTTGGAGGAGGTTGTTTTCGCTCTCGTTTGTTCATGTGTTCGTGTGTTCGTGTGTTAGTGTGTTAGTGTGTTCGTGTGTTCGTGTGTTCGTGTGTTAGTGTGTTAGTGTGTTCGCGCGATCGATATTAGCGCGTCAGCCAGCGAGCCAGCCAGCGCAGTGAGCCAGCGGGCGTGTATACACATGTGAGCGAGCAGCAGCGAGCGAGCAGCAAACCAGCAATTCAGCGTGTACACATGTCAGTACGCTGGCGTATATCGTGGGTTATTCGTGTGTTCGTGAGTCGTATGTCGCTGGCGGAGGTATGCACTCCATGAGTGCACTCTGTCTAGTTTAGTTCTGTGAAAGGTTTAATCGGAAAGCAAGCTGTTCTGCTTGCTCGAAGCCTTTAT